CTCATCATGAACCGGTTGGTGTCACCGGTCAATGGTGAGCCCCGTAGCGACGCCTTCTGCAGCCGGAACACTGAATGCTCTGGGTGTGAGAGGGCGCGTTGCTCTAGCAGACAGAAAGTCAGAAATACAGAGGTAATGGCGATCCATGACGCTACCCTGTCTTCCCCCCTTAACCTCTCCCCCCACCAACCTTAGGATGTCATCCAGGGAGGGTACGCTTCTTCCTGGGAAAAAGTAGCATGCGGCCCCGAGTGAGCATTTATTTGGCTCCGGTGGGAGATAGTTGTCATTTTAGATAAACATCATACCGGCTCCGAAATTCGCCCAACACGATCTTCAACCCTCGACCCGTACCATCCAATTCTTATCATAAACTTCTTCCCACTCTTCTCCTTCTCTCGAAGTGGGACTTCATGGGTAAGGCGAGTGGATCCCTTTGCTTTTTCTGTTGACAGCATGCCTGACAAGGCCAAGGAGTTTGGCGCTTTTCCAGTAAAGGGTGGAGGGAGGGTAGATTGAGCAAAGTTCCTGCAGGAAATTCGAAATCATGGGAAATATTCCTATTTTTCCGCCGTAAGATGAGCACGATTTGTAAAAATAAACTGTGAAGGAGATGATGTTTTGATTAAGCCTAGCGGAGGAAGTTCCCCGGTGGACGAAGCACTAAGTAGACTTCTGCCTCCCTCCAATCCCCCCCCCCTCCCCCCACTTCTTACTGAAAATTTCGGATATCCATCGGGCGGCGAGAAGGCAGAACGCAGACGGGTTAGCGGACGAGTCGCAGCTTATTTTTGATATCGTACATCCTATTTTACTTGACAGTAAATCGCTACACTACGTGCTGCGATTCCGCGGACCCGTCTGCGTCTCTGCCTTCTTGCCGCGCGACGGGCCTCCTGTCGGATGCCCGAAAATTTCGCTCACCAGATTCCATAATGGTGGTATGGTGCGTTCGGGTGCGTTACACACTTCGTTCACAGGATGCAGTGTGCACGTGGCCATAATGTGTCTTGAATGCTGGACTGACACGCAGTCAAAATGCTCTCAGACTCTCTCATTGAAAATACTCGACCAAGTGACGCGCCTGCCACGAGTCCAATTCTGTTATGATGTAATGACCTTGTGAGCTCCAGTCTTATGGGTGATAAGGAGAAAGCTAGAGAACTGATAATCATTCTCCTGGTGATTTTTCATCTCTACTGTTTAGGATACTACCAAAGGATTGGCACGATCGTTAACGTTGACAAATGGGGTAACAATGATTGTTGGTTGTATCATTGGATCTGGAATATTCGTGAGTCCAACAGGAATTCAGGAAGGTAGGGTTCAACATACGAAGGCGGGTAAAGCAGCTCCCACATTGGGTAGGGTATTCAGAATGGTACGCTGTATCGTTACGAGAGCTGTACTTAAAGGCAGTGAATACGATAATTAGTCTGTCCTATGAGGCAAAAACGCATGGGTGAGAGGAAGCTAGTTATCTTAACAGACCTTGTCTGTCACAGTCGCAGGGCGCCCTCGAAGCGAGTTATGAGGCTTTGCAACTCGTTCGCCATTAGCGGTCAAAGGCGATGTTCTATATCCGTCTGCACTCTGATCTCTATGGCAGAGAAGCAGAGTATGGCGCTCTCCTTTACGAAGTAACTTTTCGTGCAAACTCGTCCAACTCCCGTCAGGATAGGATCATCCCACTTTTGGTCTTTGCCCTTTTGTATGATATTCCTTATTTTTTTCATCCAGCTGACCCCCCATTTATTTTCGATCGATAATCAATTTAGTGTGTTCACTGCTTTTAAGGCCTTTAGATAAAGAGAGGTACAAATAGACAGCTTGAAAGAAATTGACTGATTGAAAGTTGAGAGTGAAAATAATGACGCTGAGAATGTAAGTAGGGCGACTGCATACAGCAAGTTCAGCGCATTTTCAATTTTAGCATACAGAAAAAATGCAAAAAATTTCAGGAGCCGGTTCCGTGGGATCATCGATTCTTGTATGGATTTTGTGTGGAATTTGGTGCACAATTGGTGCATATTGTTACGCAGAATTAGGAACTCTGATAACAAAGTCCGGTGGCGACTACGCGTACCTCATGGAAGCTTTTGGACCTTTCATAGCATTCCTTCGTCTTTGGATCGAAAGCATCGTAGTCAGGTTGGCTCACGAATGACAAATTGACTACGAAATAAACAAAAATACTAGCAGTATGTCTGGAGCAAGTTTAGCCCGACTCATCTGTTCTCTCTAGTCTAAAGGCAGGCTCAGTTTGATGGATCCCTTCCGTGGGAAAGATATAAATATCCCCTCATGTGGCAGAACCTGTCCCATCGCTTGAATGTACGCAATATGGGCCGTGCGCTGCCCTTTCCCGCTGTTTCACATTCGCAACATGCGACTGTCTGCGTCCTCTCGTACGGCGTGCTCTTTCGCTTGCTCTCCCTCTTCAGCGTTGTGTCTCATTGCGTTAGCACAGTCGCATGGGAACAATGAGGAGAGGCCTCAAATCTCGCCGTTCCGAGGCTATCCTTTTTTCCTAACTGCCAGTCCACTCCTTACCTCTGCCTTGTTTTTCGCATGCAATACTGTCACTAACTGAATTGGGAGTGGGGGGGGGGTACTTTCGCAGGCAGAGTTTACGATGAAAAGACTGCCCATTAGAGATCATGGGAGAGGTGGTCAGTGCTGCAGGGATGAAGAAAAATCGAGAAAATGACCTGGAACTCGAGAAGTGAGAACCCCCTTTGCCCGTTGGGCCAGATTGAGTAACGGTCGAGTGAATTTCTTAACCATGGCTCTGTGATGTGCGAGAGTAGTGTCGAGAGTGAACGTACGCGCGGAGAGCACAGACGGCTCGCGGTGGCGAGAGTGAATGTCCGCGCGGGAGAACGTAGATGACAGGCGAAAATCCTCGACGATTCGTCGACAAATCCTCGACCAATTTCGCCTTGTCGCTGAAGTGAGCGTTCATAGTTTTTTCTTCAGACCATGTGCTATTGGTGTCATGGCTTTGACATTCGCTCTATATTTGCTACGTCCGATTTATCCCAACTGCCCTCCACCGCCAGGAAGTACACTACTTCTTGCTGCAACAATGATAAGTAAGCAATCAATAATGATAAGCATTATCAACATTTCCCAACAATTTTTATTTATCAGCACAGCTTTTAAGGCTGTAAGTACGATATTTTGTGCACCAGGGGTGGATATGCGTCGATGAAAATGAAAGCCAAGAAGACGATGTATTACGTTTTCACGGTGACAGTGAGGTGCTCCGGGCTTGATCTATATTGCAACCCCTCCTCCTAATTAGCCCCGCCTCCAAATCAGCCCCCCCCCAAGCAAACGATTGTCGACATCCGAAACATCGTTACCATTGTCGTTCGCTTTTCATTTCAGGGAGTGCACTCCGTTTGGAATTAACCGTAAACTCGTCCAAACCCTCCGTTTGGAATGAACCGTGAACTCGTCCAAACCCCCCGTTCGAAAAGGACCGTAAATTCGTCCGAAATCAAGGAGCAAAATATACAGAATATTCCGCCTCTCCGACTTTAACGGTTTCTTTTTCATTACCACAGCATTTGGGGCCTTTAGCTTTATAAGTACCTTTACGAGTGCAGAAATAAATAAATAAATAAATAAATATGGTCAACATCAATTTACACCATACATCAATCTATACAATCGTTGCCCTCATTTTTCACCCTTTCCATTTCAAATATTTCTCATTATTACAGTTATTCTGACTGGAGTGAATTGTTGGTCAGTAAATATACAGCAATGGTTCAAGATTGGTTCACCTTTGGAAAAGTGCTGGCATTGCTCTCAGTTATACTTATTGGTGGATATCGCTTGATTTTTGGTAAGAGGCACAGATTTCAGTCTCCAGAAGTCATACTTAAATTTCTCGAAGTGCTCCTCTCAGAACCAGGAATTCCATCGGGATGAATCACGGTTGGGGAATTTTCAATAGGGTAGGAGGGCCGTCTCAAGTAGGATCCCCGGGATGATGCAGTTGAAAAAGGGGAAAATAGTCATGCAATAGGCGTGTACGGCCTCAAAGGCTGCGTAACAAAGCGCGTAGAATCTGCCGCAGCAGCCCCATATCCTCATCCCCCTTCCCAACCCACAGAACCTAAGGGTATTTTAGGCGGAGTTGATCACGCACGCCAAATAGTACCAAAGACCAACGAACACGTTGAACCACTGACCCTGTTTGAATGGAGGTGCTAGGAGGAGTGGGAAGCTAAGGTAGTACCTTTCAGGACAGGAAAACACCTTTTTCAAACAGCGTCTAACCCAAGTAAAGCCGCCAACATCTCACATCGTCATCTCGTCCAATAGAAAGAAATTTGAAAGAGTCCCTTTTAGTGGGCCGGAGTACAGAGACTCATTCGACAATCTTTTCGAGGGCAACTTTCGTAAAATTTGGGAACCAGCAGTGGGATTCTACTCAGGGCTGTTCTCCTTTCAAGGATGGGAATGGCTGAATTTATCACAGAGGAGCTGATTAATCCGGAACGGTGGGTTTATCATGATACTACTGCACTAACTGATACTTATAGGCGAGGATCAGGATCAAATCGATATCGTAATTCACTCAAATAGAAATAGGGATAAAATGACCGAAAGTACGAAAGGAGAGAACGCATCCAAAAACACAGTAATACAAAACTTGTTTGCTGAGGAGATATCCTAAGAAGTAAACAGCGACATGAGATAACGTGATCGCGGAGAACAACGAAATCAGAGCAGTTAGCTGGTAATTAGTACGGCAGAGAGAAGACAGCAAAGGGTGGGCGGGCGCTGACCCTTCTGTGCACATGATGATCCACGTCTCAAGCGCCTGACGTCTTAGTGACGCGCCTAGAAGCGCGACAGTGGGGTTACCAGTGCCCCCCCCTTTTCATGCCACCGAGCGCTGGTGAACTGGCGCCTCTGTCATGTAGACAGTTTCTCAATGCGCTATCTCGATCCGCTACGCCTTTTCATTTCGCCATGCCTCGGTAGGGCACTGCTCATCAAACAGTAGAGGTCCATAAGGTGTGTTCGATTGCCCCATTGAAAAATGGAAAAAAGTTAAATAAAATAAACAAATAAACAAATAAATGAAATAAAAACAAAATTAATAAACATAAACATAATAAACAAACAAAAAACAAATTGCCAGCAACCCCAAAGAGCATATCCACTTCTGAGAGGCATTCTTCAATAATACTAATTCTCTATTGATAGGGCTTCTTCTCTTACCGTAATCCAGGAGGTGACCAGCAATAGAAATCGCTGAAGATAGTGTTTTGTTCTCTCCGCCCATTCGACTTCGCTTTTTTCGGAAGCTTCATTTGCCCCATCACTACTGTTGATCACTACCGCACTTACCTTGTTTTTGAGCGCAATAGTCTACACCAAAGGCATCATGATATTCTGCCTAACCGTATTCCCCCGTCATCAGAAAAACATTTTCATTTTTTTTATTTTCTCAGAAACTGCCCTAGCAATTCTGATCTCGATGGGATTATGCACAGGTGATCTACACACTCTTCAATATAGCTTTGTATACTGTTATTTCTCCTGATGAAATGCTGATGAGCCCTGCCGTAGCTGTGGTGGGTTTCTACGGCCCAAAATGCTCGTTCTCGTTCGCGATCCCTTCGATTTGTATGATTTGGACCTCGAATAGGAGAATGCTTTAGCTGTATCTCTGAAGAAGGAGTTCGGAAATGTTCGCTTTCAGATGCCATTTTCGTCGCCATTTCAACATTGGATCGGTGAACGGTACGATTATGACAAGTTCAAGGTACGCGTGCCTTATCCCACTACTTATATTTTTCCCAACAAATAAACACAATCTACAAATCTACAAGAATGTGGGGTATTTCCAAGCCCTAAGCCCCGAAAATGGACCGCAATCGCACCGCGAAGGCGAAGAGCGAGCTACGAAATTCCGCACAAATTTTGTCGCGCGAAACGCACACGTGCGAGCGCTAATGGCGCGATGCGCGGCGGGAAACACTACGCCCTCGGTATCTTCGGTTACCCAACAGGAGGCCTGTATGGCGGAGTCAGTGGACGAGTTGCAGCACGCACTGCGTCATTTTTGCGCATAGAATTGCCACTGCCGTCCTACTCCGCGTAGTACGTGCTGCGAGTCGTGGTAACTCTGATTTTTCTTTCGCCGCGTACGGGCTTTGTCGTGCACCCGGTATCTCACATGAAGGACGGGCATGTGTCATTAAAATTGTATGGAAAGGGATACAGCAAGTTTCTTATTCAAGATTACTTGTAGCGATTGAAAGATCACTGACAGGAGATCCTTGCAGGCTTTTTTTCTGCGGAGCTCGTGAAGGCCAAATGCCGGTGATATTGACGATGATCAACAAAAAGCATCGAACTCCCATACCAGCAGTTATTTTCACCGTGAGTTCATATGTCATGCAAATTTCTCTGTATCTATTTATTCCATGCAAAACTACTTGGGAGGTGTAATAGATGAACAAAAAGTACAAAGTAGCAATTCAGTCTCGATCCTCTTGAAAACTTGGCATTTTTGGTGTGCCGTGCAGGTTTGGTACGGTGAAACTCTCTATTGGTCAGTGACGATACTTCGACTTCAATACCTGAAACTAGTTCGGGTTTTAGCTTGTAACTTACCGGGCTAAGCGTACAACCCTACAAGGCTAGCAGCAACAAATCCGGGAAGCTGCAAGGCAATACCAGAGACTAAGCTCCTCTTCCGGTTCCACCATTCTACAGCAGCCTCTTTGCTTTTGTTCCGTGACTACGGGAAATGACACCACCAGGGTCAACCAAAGCGTTGGCGTTTTTCAGAATACGATTCACCCTCCCAGGGGACTTCGAGCCGCTCCCCCCCCCACACCACAGTTGCTCTTGGGCGGGCCCTCGCAACGTAAGGCCTCCCGACCACCACCTATCGCGGCTGAATCAGTTTTTGATTCTGAGACCAGTCGATACACTTCAACTCCGCCCGCTTTTTCTCTTACGCTAGAATCATGAAAAACCGTCACAACAACCCTCCTTTCACCACGACTCCTTCACATCATTCCCACAAATACGATTTTTCAGTTCACACTTCTCCCTAGAAAAACTGCCTTCCTAGGAAACTTCCTTAACTCAACCTTGGTTTACCCTAAACACGACTTCCCCGCAAAATCGCAAATACGACTCTCCTGCAGAGTCAACGGCGTTCGCACTTTTTCAAAAGTTTTGCGCCCCCCCCCTCCCTACCACCACCATCAGTCTTAGAAGGCTTCCTCAATACGATACCCCTTCCCCCTTCTCCTTCCGCTGCCCTCACACCATCATGGCTGTTTCTATAACAGTCGACACAGCCCGATCCGTAAAACTTTCACCGAAATTCGTCAAAAAATCCCGTCCCGAAATGCGACCCCTTCCCGAAATCACAAAAGCAACCCCATCATTTGAATAGTTCACCCTGCTCCCTGGGTACTTATACCAATGGACCCCTGGGCACCAGTGAAATGTCTTATATGGCGTTTGTCTCGGCTGCACAAATGAATGATTGGCAGGAAGTTATTTGTTATGTTCATACATTTATTTCAGTTGTTCAGTCTTGGAATTTTCCCCACGTCTCTAAAAAGCTTTAACGTTTTCTTAATCCATCTCAAAAATCTATACAGCCCAAAAATAAGCCACGAAACAAATAACATTTTCAGAGTTTTCTTGCCATTGTATATCTGCTAATAGCTGGGACATATCTACACGCTTATTAATGCCAGTCAATGCACAGTTTGGCTTGCTATAGCTGTTGTATCTTTAGCACTGCTCAAATTTCGATGGTCAATGCCGGATGTACATAGACCTGTGAAGGTGAGCATTTTTACAGGCCAAGAGGAAAGGGGATACCATTCGAAAGTTTTCAGATGGTATGCTTTTGCGTCGAGGCTGTACGGGCCGGCTAATGAGCTGTCAAGCTTGGGGACTGGGGTGGGG